GTTAACCGTTGCGTGTATAGTCAAAGGTGTAGTTAATGGACTTGAAGCACTCCACTCGGGTGGGATACTTCATTTGGATGTGAAACCGGCAAATGTATTAATTAGTGACGATTGTCAAGTGAAGTTGACTGACTTTGGGATAAGTAAACACATGGATGAATCGTGTGAAGACAAGTGGTATGGGTCTGCCCCTTATATGTCCCCCGAAGCCGTTTTAAAATCGATGAAATTGACTCCAAAGAGTGATGTGTGGTCGTTAGGGATTTCAGTGATTGAGATGAGAGAGAAGAAGCCACCGTATGAAGATTTAATGACAATGCGAATTCTCGAGTTGATCAAAAAGCACCCCCCACCCACTTTTAAAAACAAAGAAGAGAACAGCGAAGAAATCACCAATTTTGTTGCGTCGTGTCTCGTCAAAAATCCGAACCAGAGAGCGTCAATTAAAGATTTGAAGAAACACCGGTTCCTTCAAATTCCAGACGACAATCAACCAATCCTTAATTTGTGTGTTTCAGTCTACCAAACAAGGTACCACTACATGCCCCAAATATCAATATTCCCAGACAACAAATTTGCGATTAAATACATTGACAAAGACGATGAAAATAGAGCAGCATCAGAACAAATTCGACAATGTTTCTCATCCGTCAGACATCCAAAGCAACAAGGAGAGTCAATCAGGCATGACAACTCTATTAACAGTTATAACGTAAACTCTGAGGTGATGAACGAACAAATCCGATTGATTGAAAAGCTACAATCGGACATTCTCGCACTGAACGAGAAGGTTCTAAGCCTTCAAGAGAACTTTGCGTTGTATACTAAAGAGAAGATGGAAGACAAAGTGAAGGAGTTGGACAACTACAAACAGTTAGTGAAAGAGTGGACCAAAGATGTGGTAGAGAACATGGTGCAGAATATGATCGATGACAAACTGCATGATTTTTTGTTTGATGGATGTGAGAGTAGTAGTGGGGATGTGTCGCCAAGAGGAGTTTGTACCCCCGGAAGAAACGTTGAGAGTAATGAAGTGTCGAGAGACTCTTCGCCGAAACTGGAAGAGTTTTCTCCGAGGACAAGAACACTCAAAAAGGAGAACAAGAAGAGTTTCAATTTATCTGTGAAAGTTCCTAAAGACATCATAGGTATCACTCCACGTATTAAAACAATGAGAAAAGATGACATGTTTGAGAGTCTTGGCAGAGGGCGGAAGAAAAGCACGAGTTTCAATGGGATGCGGCACCGGTCCGACTCTGCTGAAGACCGTTGGATGAGTAGTCGTAGGCGGAACACACGTAGTATGCATGAGCGTAATAGCGAATTTGGGTCATTCAAGAAGTCACTTGAATTGAACTATAGTAAAGCAGAAAACCAGACTAAAGACAAAGTGAGTTTGCAACCACTTGTCCCATCAAATTCTTTGAAGAAGAAAGAGCGAGAACCATCCCCAGTACTCTCAAATAAGTTCACAGAAAATACGCCAAGGCTGGAGAGTATCCCAATCTTACGATCTACCTCGCCAAAGCCTGATAACAAAATAGTTGAACGACCGATAGCACAAAGGTCAAGTTCTCCACAATTGGTAAGAAAGCAAGGGTTAGGGCCACAAAGCGTGACGACATCGCAACTTGGTCCGACAAGTGTGAAACGGCTTGGGTTTGATGAAGTGGCCCCAAAGTCAAATAGCGTCTTTACAAGTGCTGTCACAAAAAATAAGAGTTCTGTTAACTTGAGCCAACTCGAACCAGAAAACACAGACAAGGACAAGTCTGTTGAGAAGAACAAAATACCCGTTTCAATGCTCAGCAGCACATCTCTCTACGATAAAGTACAAAAACAATCTCCGACAAATTCGATGAGGGGGGTATCATCCCCACACTCGTCGACATCGAGAAAAGACACGATCCGGAAAGGGCCAATGAAACAGAAAAGGTTCTCGCGACAAAACTCAAAGGTGTTAGGACATTCCGCACACCCATCAGTGTCAAAGCCACTGGACCAAGACACCGAGGCTAAAGTCATGAGTGTTTTGCGCTTTGAAGTTGCGAAAGCGCGGTGTGCCATATGTGAAATGGTTCCCTCAAACTATGAAATTCTACGGACGGAGTTGATTGATGAAATTGATCGGAGGAGTAAGGTGTACAAATTCAATAACATTGTTGGGGAAGATGTACCAATGAAGATCCACCAAATGGAAGAAAAAATTAACGAGCTTGATAGGAAGGTTGTGGACGTTGACATCCACTTGAGTCAATTCAGACAGGAAATACCAAAGTCAATCAATGAGTTCAGAAACGAACTTTTTGAGGCTTTACAAAATCTTTGAACATCAGTGGAATACTATTGATTTTGTTTGTATTATTCTGTTATAATAAACTGTATTATATGTTATAATTTTTACAAAAATATAATTAGCGAGCAAAAACCCTATTATATTACAATGAATTAATTAACACACTACCAAACTAGACTCGAAAGAATAGGAAACTATAATGAATTATATTTTTTTACAAATAAAACCAATTGAACCGACTTTTTTTATCTAAACGTTAAATGAAAAGACAACTTTAAATTAAAAAAGAGATGGAAGAACATAAGGAAGTCAGTGGGTTGGACATTTTGATGCCACAAAGAGTATCAGAGATCAAATCAGAGAAAGAAAAAGTCGAGAAAAAGCCGAAGAGATATTCCTTCAGGGGGCAAGATTTGGAGGCAATGAAAAAACTGAACGACAGTGGACTGAAACAAAAAGAACTTTTGAAGGAAATTAAAGAACAAACGGGCTTCAAACTGTCATCATCCACTTTAGCCACTTTGAGAGCAAATAATTTCAAAAAACACAAAAGAGGAAGAAAAGCGAAGTTTCCTGATTTATACAATATATTGAACATGAATGTGGAAAACTGTTTGACGAATGATATCCCAATTCATTACTTCCAAATAATGGTCTTTGCTAAGGAACTTATCTCACATTTCCATGCTCAGAAAAAGTACTTGGAAGTCACCGAAGAGAGTATTAACCAAGCTTGGGTGCAAACATTTTGTAAATCACAGACGTTCTCGGAAACAGTGACAAACGGAGAATTCTCGGGAATTGATTTGGCGTCGTACTCGACAACGTTGGACGACATCAGGTCTGCGATTGGGTATATGTCTACGTTAGGATATGTCTCTTACAGTATGGACGAAATCGATGTCTCTTTAAGATATATTGAACATTGGTCAAACTCTGCTTTGATGAAGCCAACCCTCGTTGGAGATGATAGAAAGAAGTTGACTGCGATTTTGTGTGGGAGCTCATCAGGTGGGAAATGCATTTTAGGTGTCTTTGGAAGCAACAAGTCGAGTAAAACAGATGGGATTGTGTACTTCCATGGAACAGCAACTTTTCTGGACTACTCGTCTCTCTGGAAGTGGGTCTCTTGTTTGGACTTTGGCGCCGAGAATGGCCCCAATGAAGAGAAAAAGAAGATCTTGATGTTGATCGACAACAATGAGCCACATCTCAAATTACTTGAAAAGGCCACACCAATTCCTCTTCCACCCAATTTAAAGTGTAATGTTCTTCAGTTACATGGATATGAAAATGTCGCGTTTCTGGTCTTACCAAAAGGGACGACTGGGTTGTTCCAACCGATGTGTCAAGGTATCAAAACAACTTTCAAAACCATTTTTAAGACCAAAATGATTGACGATTACCTCCAGAAAAACGTGAAGATTTCATTAACAGAAGGTACTCCCGAAGGCCAACTCAACGAAGAAATACCTGTTCCATCTATTTTAAGTACTTCTATTGCCCAAGACAAAGAAAAGACTGAAGAAAAGAAACGGAACAGGGTGTGCGGGAGGCTCGACGATTACATCCAGATGATGAAAGAGACTTGGGACGAAATCACTGAAGACAGCATACGAGCAGGATGGACCAAATCTACATTACTTCCAGAAGCTATGGGGACGTTGCCAAGAATTTCTGAGCCCTCACCACAGGAGGAAATGTCAAAGCATACACTGAAAGAGAAAGTCGACAAGTTAAAAGAGGTTGGGAAACTCCCCAAAGAGTTTGACAACGAAGACGTCTTTTTAGACACAACAGACGACCTACCAGGTTTGATCACAAGTGAAAACGAAAAGAAGAAGAAAAAGGCGGAAGAAGAGGACCAAAAAGAGAAGGAGAAACAAATCAACAACATCACCAAAACTCTCATCGACGAATTGGACGCCATTGTTGATAAAGAGGCTCAAAAGAGATTGCTTGACATTGTCAAAGCAAAGTTAGAGGCGTTCATGTGAGTTCAGTCCATTCAATTGTCATTGGTATTTTTAATAGTTTTTTTTACTATAAAATGTTGGTTCTATTTTAGAACTAGATGCTGCTTAAATATCTTTGAAATACATTAGCTGGTGTTAAAACAACACAATAACGTAAACACGCACACAAAAGCCACTACAAACAATACTTACCATTCTGAATGTTTATTCATAAAATCTTGGAATTAATACGGTGTTTGTATGTGTTGTGTTGTTTGTTGTGGATAAGCGAGTGGTTCACTTTGTTGGTTGCTGGACTGTGGATTTGTGTCTGGTTGTGGATAATACGAGTAAGCGTATGGGTTGTTATAGTCAAATTGTGGAAAGGTTTGTGATGGTTTCATATATGGTGATTGAAGTTCTGGATCGGCGTATTGTTGTTTAGAAGATTCGGTATCCAGAAACTCTTCTTTAATGTTTGGTAATGCCACTGCGACGGGGGTTTCATTTTCCGAATCGCAAAATTCACACACTTTTCTGAAGTCGTTGTCTGTTTTTCTTTGAACCAATACGTTTCGGATGACATTCACATTGTTCCTAACAACAACTATATTTTTAATGACATCATATGGCACTTTACGTTCACACATCTCACTCACCGTTTTCATACAATCCTTCTTGATGCGACACCTTGCTTTCACACTATAATAGTTCTTTGCCAACCCACACAATTTTGGTAAGTCTAAAACATGTGCTCTCCAAAACTCCGCAGGCTTCTTTGTTGGGACTTTTAAGCTCATGTACAAGTCCAACTCCATTTTACTCACATTTTCTTTCTCTAAGTATTTCATCAATTTCGCATTTTCTTCCTCTCCATATATCTGTATGTTTTTAAATCGAGGGGTAAAAAACAAGACCTTATTAAAATAACTGTTTTGAACTGCAAGAACATTCCTCTCGTACACAGTTACCAATTTTAATAACATTGTTTTCACATCATCAATCAAAGGGTCGTCGATATATTCTTGCATCCGAATTTGTTTGCACATCGTAAATATTTGATATAAGACATCACTCAAATGGTCCACTTCTTTCAGTTCTTTGAGGCAAATTAACACAGGCAACATAACTTTATATACATTTGTGACATTGATAAATATGTCACTGTGTGAAGTTTTCAACCGTTTTTGAAGCTCTTCTTGGTGTGACACAATAAATTCTAAAATTGAGAAATTAAGGATCCACTTCCCCATCGTAAATTTCTTGAGAAACCCTGTTTTGGGGTCGATCACAATTGGGATTTTTCCCAAAACCTTTTCGATGGTGTTTTTGTTGTCAAATAGGGTGTTGATCTTTTTCGTGAACGTGACCATCTCTTTATAAAACCCAAACAATTTGGATGAGCATTGCGGTGTTAGAAGTGGTCTGAAAAATGCTTTTCCAAAGCATCGAAGTTGCGTGTCGACTCTAAACAATCCATCAACTAAATTGCCTTCAACTCCGACAAATGAATTGCCATAGAATGGTAGTTTAAAGTCTGTGATGACCTTTGGAATCAAATTCTCCATTTGTGTGGTTGTCAAAGATTCCTTTGCGTTGTAGCATAAAGGTACAAAAAGGTGTTGTTCCTCAATATGTCTTGATGTGACATAATTAATGACGAGAAAACACCATCTGTCCTCTCCCAGTGTCTTCATGAAAAAGTTGAACGAGGGAAGACCAATTTCACCCGACTCTGACATCTTTTGTAGCTCCACTAGAAATATGTTTTTCAATTGAGGCAGGTCAAACTTCTCAAATTGTTCGAGGGAGGGCATTTGAATGTCCTTTGCTATTGGAGAGGAAAGTGGTTGAGTGTAATCGTCGAGTGTGCTGATAAACAAACTTTGGAAGCTCATTAACTTATTTAGTAATTTTTTAATTTATTATTTTTATAATTTGTTAATAGTTTATTTATTCTTCTTATTGATTACCTTTCTAAAAAGAATAAATTGAGTGCTTAATTGCGATATGACAGTATCGCACCTTGATTTTGAAATACCCAATGAAACGTTTTGTCATATTGAACGACTTTTTTGCTTGACTTCTCACTGTGTTTCTGTTGTTTTGAATCAGAATTTGATTGATTTAAAAGTCAGAGAGTATATTCCATAACAAAAAAAGTTATAATAACGTTATATATCTCGTTCAAATAATTCAGAGCAAAAAAAGTCAAAGAATTCAAATTATACAATTGATTGACTAAATCCAATTCGAATGAAAATGTATATAGTAAATTAATAATACTTTCTAGTTTGACCAAGTATGTATTGAACAAGGAAAGTCAGTGTTTTATCCACACCACAAGCAAAGTGGAGTCTTAAACGACGATGAAACAAATAAACCACACTCAACACAACGATGGAAGAGAGAAAATCAAATTTATTGTTCTTAAACCAGTCGTTTCCAACAATCGACAAAAGTATCATCAAGCTCACCTTTCAGAAGTACTCGTATGATGTCCTTCGAACTGTGAACGAGTTAATGTACATCAAAGACCGACAACCACCAAAGGTGTCCACTAAGAAAAATGTGCTTGACAGTTTCAACGAAACAATTAGTAAAGTGGGGAAAAGCATAGACAACTTTTTGGATGAGATCAGTTCAAATTTAAAGAAGTCGCCATCTCCACAAAGTGCAAAAAGTGAGCCAACAAACTTAGAGAAGAAGGATGAGTCGATCAACTCAACCCAACAGAACAAAACGGTTTCTCAAATCAGAGAAAACGAAATCCAACTCAAAAAGGAAATGAATTCGGAGAAGGAACAGACACAACAACCCACAGAAAATAAACAAGACGACGTTCTGGTACTTCATAAAGAGTTGGCACCACTAGTACTGCCTCCTCAGCAACTTCCCTTAGAAAAACAACTTGAAAAGACTGACGAAATTCAACCAGATAAAATCCCCGTTCCTGTGGAAGTCCCCAGTAAAAAATCAAAGGATTTGATCCACGTCATTGAAGACTACACAAGTGACAACTCCGCATTTTCCAATTTACAAATAGTAAGGGGGTCTGTAGATGAAGAAAGAATAGAGCCTTCATTAGACTGTCGAGTGATTAATAATAGTGTGGAGGTGTGTTATTACATTCCAGAAGGTATGCTCACGTCTGGGAGTTGGGTTGGTCTTTTTGATGCCCACGAGACGACCACCACGGCCTTCATAAAGAAGTCCGAGTGCAAGACCAATGTTGGTTCCATTCACTTTGAATCCGTTGTTCGTGGGAAATACACAGTGAAACTCTTTTTGAAAAGGGAAAATGGGTTCTTCATGAAAGAGGCATTAGTTTTTGTTGGCAAACCAATCGAAGCACTTCTCACCGTATCTGTTTCGTTGGGTAAGAAATGCGTTTTAGTTGAGGTTCCCGACAAAGAGCAGTTCTGGGCAGGTATCTATCCAACATCGAAAAGTATTCCTAACAGTAGCCCCGTAGTGAATGGGTGGTCTTCCAACAACTCATCTGTTCAACTTGACATTTCACATTTACTAGTAGGGCGTTATGAGTGCCGTATATTTGGGGAGGGTGCTGTTGAAGGTGTCATATTTCGTTCCTATCACTCGTGCTGTGATGTTGTCTTTACCATATAATCCACTATTGTTTTTAGTGTTATGGAATAGAAATGTTCGCTTCACAACCCACAAAAATGCCAAAATAAATTTATTCCTCTTTCTCGCTCTTCACCATCACTTCACCTTTCTTCATCCAATATCTCTCTTCGGGATGATGAGTCTTCTTCCACTCGGGGTACTTTGTTGCAGCGTCTCTGAGTTGTTGGATGATATCAGCTATCATATACTTCGAGCATTTGTTAACTACCCAATTTGGAATCCATCCATTCCATGAGTTCCAACTGAAGAATGAAAGCTTAGTACCTTCTGGTGTCTTTTCGACGATATACCCCGTCTTCAAACTTTTCGCTCGTACGAACCCAGACACTTCACCACATTTGGGGTGGTCGACGGAATGATTGGTGATGATGTAGATCCCCTTCTTCTCATCAAACCACCACGAACGCATATTCACCCAATCACGATTGGCAATGGTGAGTGGCATTTTAACACTGTAATACCCAATCTCCGTGTTTTCGTCAATTTGTTCGACCAACTTCTGTTCTTTCATCGACTCATCCCATGTCGCACGATATTCTGGATCTTGAAGGACGTCGTGAATAACTTCTGCGGGAATATCTTTTAAAGCAGTCGAGCGAAGTTTGATTTGGAGAGTTTCTTCATTAGACGCCTTTTGTTAAGTACAAGAAATTGTAAGACTTAAAAACAAAAGAAAACAAACATCTCTGAATAAAACAGTTGTCCCGTTTTTGTCTTCAGACACATTCCATCCTTCATCATCATCCAAAACCTTCTTGAAATCAAAGAAAAAGTCTTTATTTGGGACGGGGAAGTCCTGGTTGTGTGTTAACGTGTATACGTCACCATAGAGCTTCACCATCCATTCGGTCATTTTATCGGATGAGTTTCAAAGTTCCTGGCATTTTTGAGTCGTAAAACAGACAATTTTTTTCAACTCTTTCTTTAGTTATTTCAGTATAATTTGTTATTTACAAATTATTATTTTATTAAGTGTTTAGTAACTTTTATTAAACAATCAACAAATTAAATTAATTGAATATTTCGAAACTCACTTGTGGGAATAAAGAACTTTTTACTTTTTTTATTAATAATTCAACTGTTTTCAAATACTATTTGTTTTTTTTATTTTACTAATAGCCCGATTATTTAATGTTATTTACATCAAAATCAAAAAAGTATTATCAGGTATATTTGTAAGAGTCGGTGTTTCTAAATAAATCAAATACTTCTGGTTTTTTTAAAAATTTCTAAAGGCAAATCTGCTTTTTAACTAATTTTTATAAATTGCTATCATTGAAATAAAATATTATTGGTTTATTAGATGGTATTTGAAATATATAATTTTATTAGTAAATTATTATATCTATATGATATTATATTTATATTGTTTTGTAACTAATAATGATGCAAATAATTACTTTTTTTTACCAAAAAAAACAAAATATTGATTAACTCCAAAAAAAAATAAACAATTCTTTTTAAATTGTGGTTAATCTAATTATAGTTGTTATGTCTGATTTTTTTAATTGTTTTCATGTTTTTATAATTATATATATTAGAAAAGAACTATTCATTTATGGTAGTTATTAAATGAATAATACAAAAATCTTAATATAATTATAAAAACAAATAGAAATAATAATAATATAGGTTAATTTAATAATAAATTAACTATAAACTTAAAAAGACAAATAGTAGCGCATTTAAGAATAAATATATTAACGTTTATATAATTAAAAAAAAGAAATAGCTGAAGTTTATTATTATATTTTCCAATTGATTAGAAATCTATTTATTTACAAATATACACGACCAAATCAGGGAAATGATATAAAACAATAAATAATATCCTCAATTAATAAATGAACTTGAAAAATACAATTGTTTAAAATTTTTATACAATATAAATTAAATCAAACAAAGAAATTGTAACTTACAAATGCGATTTATAGATTGGAGGCGTCAAAGTATATTAAAAAAACCTAGAATGAAATAAATGACTCACTTAGTTTTTTCATTATTTTTGGGGTTGTTTGGAATCATGTGGTATGCAACGATGACAACGACTGCTATGAACGTAAGCACCTCGAGTGCGAAAGTCACTTTGTCCTCCGATACTTCCACTGCACGTCACTTGGTTTTTTGATATTTTTGGGACAAACTTTTCTTTTGAATTTGGAGATCAAACCATAAAATGAAACAAAAGAAAGGGATAACAAATTATTTGTATGGGTTTACATATGGATTTGCATACGCGGGCTTGCCTTGCTGCTTTTGTTGTTGCATTTGTTGTGCAAACTGTTGTTGTTGACTTGTTCCATATGGTGACATTGGGTATTGCTGACTACCACCTTGTTGAGTTGACTTCACATAAGGGTTATACGACTGTTGCATTTGTTGTTGGGGTTGTTGTGGTTGTTTGTATTGTGCATAAGGCTGTTGATATTGAGTTGGTCTTTGTTGGTACTGTGATTGAATAAATTGGGATTGTTGTGTATACTGTTGTTGTGCATATTGTTGCTGCCCATAAACCTGTTGTTGTGGGTATTGTCTTTGTGATTGAGTGAATTGTTGTTGTTGTGGTTGAGAGGCGTAGTTTCTCTGGGGGCACTGTTGATAACTTGAAGCGGTCATTGGTTGTTGATAAGGTTGTTGTTGTCGTTGTTGGGGTTGGGAATATTGAGGGTATTGTTGTGGAGGGTATTGTGGTTGTTGATATTGTGGTTGAACAGCAGGTTGTTTAGGTGGAAGTGGTGGCAATTGTTTTGTAGGTACGTTTGGTTGTTGAGGTTGTACATTTGCCGATTGGAGCTTCTTAAGTAAATCGTCGACGTCAAACGCGTGTCTTTCACAGAATGTGAACACTTCTTGTTTTAACTCAATCAACTTTTGAAGGACAAAAGAGTGATTGGAAATAGATGACGAGACTTCGTCTCTTATTTCTCCAGCCGCTTTCATAGCACTGTGAATCTTGTCAATGTTGACATTAAGTTCGACTACTTTTTCACCCAACACAAGTTGCAATTCTGCGTGTTCTGAAGTGATTTTACCAAGTAATTCTGTTTGTAAATCAAATGACTTTTGCATTTGAGCGACAAGTGTTTTGAGTTGTTCGCTGTAATTGTTAACAACGCCTTCTTGGTTGGAGGTCTTATTCAACTCGTCAATTAAATTGCTTTCTTGAGCCTCAGCACCACATAACAATGTTTGTAACAAGTCGTTTCGATCAATGATGAGTTGTTCCCACTCCCCTTTCAGTTCTTCCATTCTAACAATTATGGGCATTGCTCTTTCTGTTTCTTCTTTAGTTGGGAAGAACTGAGCAACACCTTCCTTTCCTCTTTGAATAATGTTGAGAATATCTGCATTCAGTTTCATTTTACTTGACGTCTCCACATCACTTCTTTTAGACTGTGAAACCAAGTTGTCGACTTCTCTGATTTTCGCAATCAAAGAGTGTTGATTGGAAGCAAGATTGATTGTCCAATAATTTCTGTACTTCACAATACCATCATTATCCTTCAAAGCCTCTTCATCAAGTCGGTGTTTAATTTCCGCAATCAAGTCGTCGTTTTTCTGAGTCGATTTATTCATCATTTCCATACTTTCTTGCAATTTGTCGAACTGTTTCAAGTTCCCAAATTCAGTGGCAAACTTCTCGACGTCTGATGGTATTCGTTGGGGGTTCTTCACAATTTCAATGACTTCTTTCAACTTGATTCTTTCAAGATAGTCTTCACCCGCTTTAGTAGACGCTGGTGTAGTAAGTTTAGTATCGTCAATCACCTTTTTCGCTTTGGCCATATATTGATTGTAAGCAGCTCGAATCTTTAATGGCAATAACTCTTTGAAAGGGTTTTCTCCTTCAAATTGGAAAGCTTGTTCTTTCGCAAGAACAGTTGCTTCTGGGTATTCCAACGACGCTGCTTCTGGGATGTTCTGCATATACACCTCGTCATTGTCCTTTTGCATTTGGGTCAACTCAGCCTTAAAGGTCTTTAAAACAGTGTCAAAAGTACCTTTGAATTCCTTTGGAAGGTCTTTAGTTCTTGATGCGGCGTCTATATTATCAATGGCCCACATCATTCGTGATATCTGCTCCCCATACTTTAAATTTTCTTTTGCGTCAACTGCAGCAATGTGTCGCTGAACATCAGCAACACACAACTTTTCAAACGCCATGGAAGAAGCATATATATGGTGGGGTATACACTGTTTGGCAGCTTTAGTTGTGTCTTTCATAACAACAGCTACCTTGTAGACACCAGACGCCAACTTCATTTGAATCGTCTCTGATCGACTTTCTAAAATTGCTTTTTGGTAATACATGTACTGCACTGCGAGCATACAAAATGACGACAAGGCTTTGGTTGCTTCCGGCATGATATCCAAACAATTCACGACTCTTTCATTACCCACAACTGCATTGGACGCTTCACTAAAACAGAAAGCTGCATTCTTTATATGTTCTATCGCATCTTTGAGGTCAGTGCGAAAATTCTGACGTGCAAGAATCATGTGCGCAACGCCGACGTTATACAATACATTCGCCGTTTCAAAGCAGAAGAGGTAGCATGAAGTTTGTTCCTTTTTAACAGTGTCTGTCCAAGAAAATTGAACATTGATAGAGGACAGCGCGACTCTTTGGCTCAAGTTGTGGAGGTTATTGTAATACTCAATACTTGATTTAATAACCAAGTCCGCGTTGGTTGTCGTGACAAGTTGGTCTCGAGACTTTTGCATTGCTCCGACAGTGTTTGTGATATTTTGACTGATTGTCCCAAACTGTGCTGAAATAGCGCGTACAATTGGTTGGTATATTTGTGCCGAAGTTGTTTGCTTCAGTCTGAAGATGGGGAATGGGATTACGTCTAAAATATTTGTCATCTGAGTTTTCTAGTGTTTTGAGGATTTCAGGTTTTAGAGTATTTTTGGAGTGCGTTTGAATGGTGAATGTGTATGGTTTTAAACTCTTCATACAGTATTATCTAGTATTTTTTTGGTATCTATTTAGTTTATTATTGAAATTTGTTTTATCTGTTGTCAAATTTGTAAAATAGTTAAAATTTTAATAGTTATTTTATAAATGTGAGTCAATGATTTTTGTATTTTTCTTTTCGTAGAGATTGAGTTTTTACTCATTATTGTTTATGAATAATTACTAATTAATAAAAACAATTACTAAACTAATTATTTACAATACATTAATTTAGTTCTCAAAAACAAATGTGCATGAAATATGAATTATAATTAAAAGTTTTAATTATAAATTATAAAAATTATAATTTATTTATTTTAATTTAAAACAAATATAGTTTATACAAGTAAAAAAATTACAAAACTTATCGAATCGAATGTTAAATTGGAAGATATTATAATTAAGTTAGCATTGTGTGTTTCAATTTATTATGAGAGTAAAGAGGTTTTACTGTATTTAATATAATATTTTAATATACTATTTAACAATAAAAATACAAACCATACAATTTGATTATAAAGTTTTTTAAAAGTATTTATTGGGTTGATATATTAAGTAACGTTATCTTTAAATACTTATACATAAAACAATCATTAGATACTGTAAACACTTAATCGATAGTTCTTGATAAAAGCATTGAAAAAGATTCGTTTTTGTGGATGAATAAACACTTCAAGTGATTGTGCAAAACGGTTTTAAAAAGTTTCGAAAACTTTTTAAAATATATGAATAGAGTATGAAAAAGATGAATAACAGAAAAGAGAAAAAGGGTTTATTATTATCCAATTTTTTTCTCAAATTTGAAGATATTTAAGAAAAAAACTGATACGGATTATAATATTTCATTGTGATGTTTCAAAGAGACTTCACACTTGGCTTGCCAACTATCACTTCATTTTTTGATACAAAGGATATTTATCACCCACATGTTGCTTCACAACCACGAATACAGTCAACTACTTTTAAATACAAAGAAGCTGCAAAACCAAAAAAGCTTCAATGTAATGAAAGAGACACACTCCCATCCATAAACAGTTTAACATCAGGGCTTAGGTTTCATATTAACCAAAACATGAAACCCATGGCTCAAAAAAAGCAACTCGGATACTTTCAAAACATTCAACCCTTTCAAAAGTCTGTTACAACAATAAAGGGACAAGAACCCCCAATGATAATCAAGCAACAACCAATTCCGAGAGTACAAAAACAGAAGAAAGTGAATGAAAGTCCAACATTAGAAAAAGGAAACGACATCCTGTCGCGCGTTATTGATTCAAATGAAAGCACTGAAACGGAAAAAAGTGAAGGAACCTTTGCTAGCGATATACTCTCCGGACATTTTGATATTTCAAACACCAAGAAATCTAGACAAATGTTAATGGAAAAAGACAAACAGCCGGATTCTCTTCCACCACTCAGCGAGACTAAAAGTGTTAATGACAAGGTGTTAATTAGAATAGGGGAAAATGTATTTATTTCAAAATCTGAAGTAAATGGGGAGATGTGTGTTGATATAAGAGAGTACAACAACATCTGTGGGAGACTCAACCCAACAGACAAAGGTATTTTACTTGGCATGAAGGAGTGGAATACAATCATGAAATCTGTCCCATTTTTGACAAAGTGGTTGAGTGCAACGCCATCCATTTGAATCAATGAAGATTCTCAATGTACACCAGTGTAAGTGTTTCTTTTGTAATTGATTGTATCAGTGTAAAGTAAGTTAACACTCATTTATTCATCACTTGTTATAACAACCACTTCAGCTCCTTTTTGAATATCGTCAATATCATCCATTTCGCGATACCGCATGATTGTTTGGGTGTTTTGTTTCATCTTAAAGTAATAGAAGGCCATACACAATACTACAAGAAGTAAGATAACAAAAACAATGCATTTTTTGGTGTTGCTTTGTTCTTCTGTTTCTTCGTATGTCACGACAACTGGATGACAATGAACTATAGAACTGCTTGAAACTACTTGTGAGTATCTAAGTGTGATAAAATCTATTGTTATAGTATAAGAACTAACTTTTATATACAACCCACCGACCAAAACATTCAGTAAAGAGCCGACCTAATTGCGATATTTGATTGGTTGTAACATCAACTAGAATAAGCTGCGGCAATTGGGTGTCTGGGCCGAATCCATGTTCTTCGTTAAGGATGAGATATTGTGTATCGCCTCTCCATGTATTGACATTTGTATGCAGCGCAAAGTTACTATCCTTTCCAAACACTATTTCAGCCCCCTTTAACACTCTAACAGGGGCTATTGTGTTCTCGTTGAAATGTATATTACCCAATACTGTCACTTTAGACTGTATCGCCAGATACGAATCCCTTTCGATGAAAATTGAAGCACTTTTATCGACAATTAACTCGGCACGTTGTACAAAAGTCATTGATTTGTGAACTTCTAAATAGACACTTGACAAGAGTGTTCCTCCAAAATGAATAAAGTCGTTTGCTATTATTTTTGTCACTTTTTTGGTATTAAGAATGGCCATAATTATACTTTGATTCTTCAAAGTAATGCACCCCCCATTTTCGGGAACAACAAGCGCAATGATCGCACTTGTATCTACAGTAACATCAAAACCCTTTAAATACCGAATTGTTGGCGATTGTTTGGGTCGTATTACACACTTAGTCTCACAATCAATTCCTCCAAACAATGGCGTGTCAAAGTGCACAACAACTTCGTCTGGTTCGTTAATGATATATCGACAATTTTCACAAGGGCACCCGCTCTCTCGAAATTTGACATTGTCTCCACTCAAGTAGATGTCTTTTTTATGTTTAGAAATGACATGACACTTCTTTAAAATTGACATTGGAATGACTTTCTGTGACGATGGAAAAACAACAATGTTCCGATTTTCAAAGTGTTGCAAATGTGGAGAATTGGCAAAATTGATTTTGGTGTCGGACTCTAAAAACACGAATTGGTCTGCACTCGTTTCACAATATTTAGACACATTCACCGAGTCGATAAAAGCCATATGTGTTGTGAAATATGTCTCTTCAACGGAATGTATCTCAACTTTGGAAGAGATCAGAGAGCAGTAAAACGCTTTGATTGTACCTTTTTTAAAGACAACGCTTGATGAATTTGAAATGAACATTGTTGCACTGATATCCTCTGTTATCGTCAAAAAGCCATTCACTAAAGTGATGGAGTTGAACTGTAATGGTGCTTTAACAGTTGCTCTTGCTAACGAGACAAATAGATTGTTTACCATCGCCTTTAAAGTTACGTCTTGTGTGTGTTGTAACAACGAAACGGTGTCATGTTCGGGGATCTCTCCGTTTTGAATAGTTGATACTGAAGATGGTGATAAGAGTGTGAAATAGGGGTTTCCGCTATAAGAATTGATTTGTGGAGGAAATGGTGACACAATAGACAACGTGTTAGTGTTAGTGATATTCTGAGTAACAAATTGTGAAGGAGATAATATCGACAGATACATTTTGACAGAGATACTTTTGAACTTTGGTGCAAAAAGTGATCCCGTATCAATATACACTGCACACAATTCGCAGTGAATGCTCCCAATATATGTTTCGAGATACAACGCAATCGGTTGGGTGATATTAATGTCAAATGCAGTGAATTTTCCTTTAATTTCAACGTCTGAATCGCTCATTAACTTCAAGTTAGCCATTGGTGGTGGGTTCTCCAAAATCACTCGTTGTTTCTTTGTCGAGGTGAGTACAATAGAATAGTCCACAAGTTCTTGTGGACATTTATAGTCTGTATTCAAGTAAACCGAACTATCTGAGAGATCCAAGTAATTGTTGTCTGACCTAATTTCACATAAAAAGGAAGTGCACATAACGAAGAGTGTGCCAAGCACAACCACTTGACAATTTAACATGTTATTTCAAGTTTCTTCTGTTATTTATCACAAATTGCGTTATTAGGCATCTTTTGTTATATATAACAAATCAGTGGTTTTTTCATCAAAATATTTTGGGGCAATGAACAATTATAAAACAAAGGTAAATTTATAATACTTTTTAATAAAAACAAGTATACTAGTATTTTATAATAAAAAAATTAGAATGATCTAAAAGTATATTCAGTAGTAGTTGAAAGATCCTTTCATCACCTCCTTGCGCTCTTCCTCGGTGATTTTAATTGTCCCAATGTTATACGAAAGCAGTGTGTCCACGTCTTTTTTGAGAACCTTTTCTCTGTATTTAAGTCTTGTCTTAGGCACACTGAGACTCTCTCCGTTCTTACCGATGAGCCATGTGAGTTTGTCTCGCAACGTGTAAGATGATATAACCACCGAGTTCTGGGCAATTTCGTTGACATCAGTTGCGGTCAATCCAAATGTCTTCACTGCATTTGCGTATTCCTCAATCAACGGTTGGTCTGTAGTATGTGAGTGCATTGGTGAATCAGTAGCCAGTGTGACCAACATTCCTCTCATAAAGTATTTGTTAAATGGGTGTTTGATGATATCGTACAAGAATTTGTCGTAAATAGGACAGCAAGTGATACCTATTTGGGCCAAGATAAATAAGTACTGCAACATGTTTTGGTCATCTAGAGTCCTTCCATGTGATATTGAGTCCGCAGTCAAAAATGCAGCTGCGTTATGCATAGGATCTCCAGCTTCTCCACAGTGCGGTCTAAATGCAAAAGTGTTGAGTCCAAGACTCTTTCTCAAGTTGTTTAACACTGAGATGTTCATTCTCAAGAAGTAAATCCAATATTGGAATGATGGTTCACTATAACTGTTGTATTCAGAAGGCAATTCCTGTTCTAAATTACCATCAACAGAATACACCGATTCATCACCTTTAGTATCAAAGCTCCCAACTCTTTTCAATAATTCCGAGACTTCAAAGTTGTTCTCTGGATTCAAAGTAGCTTCAAAAAGTGGTCCAAAAATGTTGCAAATAATTTTCTCGAAACAGCTGATGATGTTCTGGTGCTTCAATTTGGCGTATTCTCTCACAACTTGAATGCTTAAAAGATGATCTTTGCTTTGAAGTATTCCAGCACGATACAACATCTTTGCAAGTCTCTCTACATCAGTTTTGTTCCCTCCATTCAGTCCAAGACCTATTTCCATCTTAATGCTTCTCGTTTGGTTACCATTGAACCACGTCTCTTTTAATAACTCGCCCAAATACTTTCCACCATCTAAGTTGTTTGTTGTCAAAAACAAATTACGCAACTCGCGGCGGTTGAATATTCTCTCTCTTGAGTCCCATAAATCATATCTTTGTATGACTGAGGGGTCGAATGAGACGTCCAGGGTTTCCAAATTGAGTCGGTTGATATTATAGATATTGAACATGTTTTTCAATGTCACTTTTTTGAACACTCTAAAGCCATCCTCCATCTCGACTTCAAGCTCTTTGTATACAATCTTTTCCGCATCACTAACTAATTTGTCTTGAATGAATTTGAGTAGTTTTCTCGGATGGAAAGACCTCGGTCCGGTCAACACTGTATCGATTTTCATCGAAGCGTCAAAGTCTTCCTTCAAATTTTTCATCTCCGTAGCTTCAATGGAGTTGTTCAGGAGTTTGTGTAGCGTGAACATCTCCTCCCTGCACTTTAACTGAATGTATCCAAATGATCTCGAGTCTCCATTCGCCACAAAGCTAGTCAATGAATTATAATCCGAAGTGTACTCTGTGTAATCAATGATAGGAAAGTATGCTCGATTCTTCTCAAGGTGGATCGAGTGATATTTGTTCTCATGGAACTTTTTGAAACATTTCTTACAAAACTTTTTGCGACAGTCGAAGCATTCTATAAACGCTGTGGAGACTTTGCAAACGTCGCACACCATATCTGGGGTATCAAACACGTTGTAGACTCCATTAGAAATTGAGTAGAACAGTTTCGTTGTTGTTGGCAGATCTACAATTTTCGTTGGAACAAATTGTGTTTCATTCTCCTCCAAGTACTTCTCTCTCAATGAAATAAAATAAGTGATGTTCTTCATGATGTCGACGTCTTTGCCACTTTTCGTCTTAAAGTTCAAGAAGACACGTGTTCTTGGAATGTCCTCAAAAACACCATTTGCATTGTTTTCAGTTAGCGCTTTAAGTAACTGCTCTTCATCGCTTAACAACTGTCTTCTAAACGCTGGACGCGACAAGTGGTTGACAAATCCCTTCATCATACGAGACTTCGTCTTAAACGAGAATCCACATTGCCTTACAGAATTGCGACAAATTTCGACTAAGTCGTGGTCTTTGTATTTATACATATTCTTTGCCATCGAGTATTCTTCAAGAAGTGGTTCCACTGTTTTGTGTACTCGAAGTGGCTTGTCCGTTGACAACGAGACGTTGAGTCCGACTGCAAAGAATGTATTGAACGGGTTAGAACTGTACGGTGTAATTTTAGCGTGAGTGGCCATTGGTGCCTGTGAAATTCCGATTTGGTCCAAGTAGAATAAGTATTGTAAAGTCGTGTTATCTTCAAGTTTGACTGCTTGACTGACACCTTTGGAAGTGAGGTATCCCGCAACCAAATGACTATAATGTCCCGTCTTCCCACAGTGTGGTCTAAAATCAAACGTGTTAAGCCCTTTTGCCATTCGAAGTAAATTAAGTGATGTAATATTACTATAGAAATAGTACATATAAACGTAATAAGATGGATCGCTTTGGTTCTCTAAATTTGGGTCAAAAGAAGACAAAGTAATTGACTCTACAACACCTTCATCTCCATCAGAATCAAATCCACTGATCTCTTGAAGGAAAAGGGAAAGTTCTTTATGTTGTTCTGGGTGTAAAGTCGCCTCAAAAATAGGCTTAAAGAATCGCGATATATATTCGGAGAATGTGATCTCCTTCACATTCTCATAAAACCGATGAAACTCAATCAGAAACTTGTTGTGGCTTGAGACAACCTTGTTTGATATGACCCAATGAGAAAGTTTCTCCCACTCATCTTTGGTATTCCCCATTATAATAAGCCTCATCTCTGTGTATGTCTGTGTTTCCTCAATTTTACTCAATTCCTCTTTTAACAACTTCGCAAAGAGTTTTCCTTCGTCCAAATTTGTAGTCTTCAAAAATATCGAACAGAGCGAGTCATCATTTTCAAATTCGCCAATTTGGTGAATGGAAAGTCGATTTAAATCGATTTTGTGTCGTTGGCAAAACTGGTTCAAATTCTCTCTCTTCTTGTCTGAGTTCACAAACACATCATCTTGATAGTCTTTATTCTCTTTGATGAACTTAAACAAATTGTTTTCAGGTGCTGCCCAATTAGCGTGAATGTGCGTGTCGACTTTCGGACACTCAAAAAAGTTGTTTCCGACTTGCACTTTTCTCAAATCTAAGTATAAATGCAAATTAAATCGGTGTTCCAACTCTTGTAACCTTTCCATTGTAAACGTCTTTGTCGGAGGGTCGTCGACTAATTTGAGAACAACGTCAAAATCCTTCAAGTAATTTTCTATAGAAATTGGAGAATATAAAATAGTGTTGGTGTTATCAACAATAACATAAACACCATTCTTTAATTGGACGGAAACCATCAATTCTTTGCTACTCGACATGACCAAAGACGTCATTTCTTTGTCAATGTGCATTGGAAAGATGTCGACTTTCTCTTCGTCTTCTTGTAATTGTAAATGACTCTTGAAGTGTTGCGGATCAACGAACATGTATTTGTTTCTATACGACTGGATTTTGAGGATGTTCTCCGCTGCACGTGTCCGTTCTTTGTTGACCCAATGAACTGATCTCGATATTTGTACCTCAGCATCTTCTTGGAGAGATTTTCTAAGTTCTTTTGAATCCGACGTCGTTATGGTGTTTCGTGCAAAACAGAGTATTTTGGAAAATCGGAAGTTTTTCTCTTTCAATGGAACAGATGTCGCGAGGAAGTTCTCCTTGATACCAGGAGAGCCTTCTCCAGACATTATTATTTTGTTTTTTAGTTTATCAACGATTTGAATTTGTTAATAGATGATATATTGAGTCAGTAAAATAAAAAAACACAAAAAAACTTAAAACAGAGCAACTTTTTAAATTCAATTTGATTATTTTTGGTTTTAATAAACGTAATATATCGGGAAATATTTCAAATGTAGCCATATCATTTTTTTATTTTTTATAATTTGCTCGTTTATCTAAAACAAAAACAAGCCATTCATTGTTTAACATATTAGGTAAATAAATTATTTTATTGTAAGTTTTTTATACAAACTATTTCTTTATTATTTAACCTTAGGATGTCGGCAGTTGAAAAGTAACCTAAATATTTTATAGTTAGTTAACCATATACTCTGTTAAGTAACTGAACAATATTTAGGTTACTTTTCAACTGCCGACATCCTAAGGTTAAATAATAAA